ACAACCTAGTATTGTGTTCAGCCTAATTGATAAAATAAATTTATAAATATAATAATAATTGTGGTTTTTATTGTTTTTAATTAAAAATATATTTAAAATACTAATTGAAAACTAAAAAAAATTACTAAAACTAAAATTCGAATGCCACAAAAATGATTAAAAATGAGTGAATAATTATTTCGTTAACAATGTTACCATTATCAACACTAAACACATACATAGTGTTTAGCTAAAAAACATAAAAAATATCGAGGCTTAAAATTACGAATGAATTTTAACATTTTTACCATGAGTAGATAAAAAAATGTAGTTTATCTTAAAAACGGTTGAGTTTACCTTGACTTTTCTAAATTTCGTCATATAATAACGATTTAAAAACAATTTATTTTCCAGTATTTTTTTTAATTTAACTATTTTTCTGAATATGATAAAATGGTTAACGATCAAAGTCAAATGTATTATTTATAAATGATTTGAGAATGAATTAAAGTTGTAAATGTAACTATTATAATTAATGAACTATAATTTTAATCATAATTCATATGTTTTAAGTGATCAAAGAAGATACACCCATTCTGTAAATTCGAAAAGGAGTTTTATGTATAAATACATCTTATTTATTAATATATGATAACAATCCTTAGTTTAGAATATTACTCTAAAAAATATTTTTTTTAATAAATTTCTTTTTAAAATCAACCTTTGGGCTAACGGTCTTAAATTCTTAAACATATAAATATGTTCAAATTTACTGTATCTAATCTATTAATATAATTTAAACGAATTATTTTATTTTAATCAAGTTTCATATCCTTATTATCTATAATATATTGCAATTTGCTCTATAACCTATTATTAAATAATAAATTATATATAAGTTTTTTTTACAGAGTAAGCAATAACTTTTGCTTATCAATCATACAGAAATATTGCAACAATTGACTAGTTAGTACATAAATTATTTTAGTTACAATTACCACATGAATAATTTTACTTAAAATTATTAAAAATTCTTAAGAAAAAAGGGATTTTTAGTAAAAAGAAAATTGTTTTATATAAAGTAGTACACTATTAACAACGTTTAACATGTACATAAATTTTTTATTAAATAAAAAAATTAAAAAAAAAACAGCATTATTTTAACAAGTTTAGATTAGATCTAAAAATGGTTAACATTACTGCTATAAAAAATACTACGATATGAATCTGTTAAATTTCATAATTATTATATTTGTAATTTTAAAATTTCACTTGAATATTAAATGCTTATTAAATTATTTGCTTAATTGATAACAATTTATTTTTGCTTTGATGGCTGGTTTATAATAGTAGAAAAATCGCAAGAACAAAATTTTAACTACATTTTTGTAATTATTTTTTTCATATAAGTAAATTAAAAAACTTTAATTATATAAGTTAGACGTTGTCAAAACTTGCGAAACACTTTCAAAAATCGGAGATAAAAAATGAAAATGTCATGCGATGGTGGCTTATTGATATCGTTTTTGTACTTAGGTTTCTTATCGAACAAAAAACCATAACAAAAAAAAGCTTATTGTCTCTAGTATATATTATTAAAATTTCGTTTGGATCAGTGAATTAAAAAAAACTATTATCAGTTTTAAAATACAAAATAATTTTATTTATTAAAAAATTTAATTTTAATATTAATAATTTTTACAAATTTTAAGAAAAAGCTATTTTTTTAAATTGTTTTATATCTTTCAACTCATATTAGTTAAATATTATAAAACTCTGCTTAATAACTAAAGAAATTTATATTTAAGTCAGTAAAAGCATTTGATTAGGAAGTAATGAGGTGTTGAAACTTTTAAAGTAACCAAGTGTAAGAAATAAGTTGTTAAATTATTTTCGTGCTATCAAAACATTGTTATTGTAACTAAAATATTCAATAAATTTTTAAAAATAATACATCATTATATAAGATTTTTTTTTTTGTCTTGACTTTTATTGAAAAAATCACCTAAAAACCTCTAATTTACATATTTATATCGTTTTATGGGATATTCTTCGAAAATTCAAAGTAAAAACCTTAAAAAGCTATGTGCCTCGACTTAAATTTTTCCAAATTACATCAAATTTTCAGAATATTATTTTTTAATACTAAACAAAAATAATGCAGTGGTGCCATGAAGGAAATTCATAAAATAAGGACCAACCTAATAAGAAACTGTCTTACAGATAATACGGCACTGTTATAATTTTGAAACAAAACAACACTGAAAAGAATAAGTAAAACCAATTAAGTTTTTGATATAATTTTATAATATTAAAATTAGTATAACTTAAAATTGGAAATATTTTGAAGCTTTATGTTATTACAAATAATTTTCTCGAAAGTTATACGTTATTCTCATCATTAACAATTTGTTTAAATGATTTGTTTGCAAAAAAAAAAAAATTAACCCAAAATGTAGAACAATAATTCACAACCACAGTTATTATTAGTGATGGGAAATATTGAATAGTAACTGTCGAACTATTCGATAGTCATTCAAAAACTATTCGAATAGTAAAAATATTGTACAGTTACACAATATATTCGAATAATTTTTAAAACTATTCTATAGTCTATGGTAAAAATAAACTATTCGGTTGTATAAAAACAATTCGAATAGTTTAAAATATTCCAAAATGCCCATCACTATTTATTATATTTAATATTTTGATTGGGAATATTAGTAGTACAGCAAATTAATATGAACATAAATATAATGCTGTCTATGTAACATATTATTGTTACATAAAATATTGCTAAAAAAGAAAGAAAAAATTATAAGTGTAACATATTCAAGTACTTAATCTCAAATTATCGTTTTATCATAACTTGTAAAAGGGTTTTATTGTATTTAAAATTGATGTGAATTTGTAATTATGATTAGCTCAGGTTAAAATTTTCAATAGGAATTTTTATTAGAATATTTATGATAACCTTTAACTTTAAAAACTATTAAAAAGTAATATCATAGTCTAATGTATTATTATTTTTTTGTGAAATTTTTGACATAATTATTTGTAAATATATACATATAATAATATCCAACAATTTTTTTTCCGTATTACTATTATTCTGAATAATGATATTTAACTAGTAAAGGTTAGCTGTGTAGAAATTTACTCTTGTAGAAGTCGCATTAAGAGCTAATGTCAATCTACAAACAACTTTTGTCACCCTTAAATTGAATACTTAGGTTATTTGAAGTTTTATGACTCGCTTATCAATTTTATGAGGAAATAAAACTCATAGAAAATAGTTAAGTAATTTTATTACATATTATTGGTATTAATAAATTCTTGCGTTTAAGTGTTTATAAAAGTTTAATTATGTAACAAATAGTATAATGAATGCATCATATGCCAAAATTCAAAACCGACAAATTTTATCATTGACGAGTGCACTGTGTTAAATTATGCTGATTATTGTTAATTTTTACAGGATGTTCAATTATTAATGTATGCCCCTTTATATCATTGTAATTTTATTACAGATACAAACTTTTAATTGTTACCAACGGCTTACGGGTCTTATTACTGACTAGGACAAAAAATATTACATGAATATGGATTTCTTTATGTCAACATTTAGGGCTTCGATCAGATAGCTTGTGTAAAACATGAAAAAATATATATATGTTTTACTGTTTAAATTATTCGTCGATTTTAAATAGAGTTTTTACTTTTTTTTTGCATTTAGACGACTAGTGTGTAATTTATATTCATGATAAAAAATATAAAATTACTCTTTGTGCGAGGATACCAGCATTCTTTGTGTTATCATTGAAACTCATAGGAGCTCTTATGATTTAAAAATTAGCGAATTTATTAATTTCTAAATGAGTGAGAGGTTTTTTTAGCGGTACTAACTATGTGTAATTAAGTTTTATGTTATTTCAAGTTGTTCATGAAGCACGAACAGCACGACTCTACACGAGGAAAACAAACACGTAAATTACATAACGAACGATTAATTTCACTGGCTGTCTGGCGTAACAATTTAAAGTTCGTTTTGACAGAGTTCAGAGAAAATGAATAATGCAGAATGTTATAACATTATGAATAGGACTCCAGAGAAACGGTGGCGGTACAAAGCGACAATCGGCGACAACGACCGATCACTGGCAGTGGATGTAATCTATCGAAAGACGTCACCATCACCACCGAGTTGCCCATTCTTGTTTATGCTTATTGCTGATGCCGTCGCCACTGCTATGTCCTGATGAGGTCAACGTTCTGTAATATTTTTTGCCGACGTCTGCGTCTAGGACTGTGGTTGTACATTCGACGGATGGCGGACGGCATGCGTCGTGTACACAACACTTACGTACCACACCCGCTCTACGACCGCTCTTTATGCGTTGTAGGAGGCGATGAATAATATACTATGCAGTGTAGTCGTTATAATACTTTGTTTTTTTTTTTCAATTTTAAGTGACCATAACGAACAAATATTTTTTATTTTGCTTACAGTTAACGGACTACTTTGGGAATGAAAGAAATGTACTGAGTGTTGCGTAAATAACGTTGTCAGACATAAAGTAGTGGCGGCAACCAACTACTGTTTATTACGTATATAAAAAAATATATCAAGGGAGCCTATGATCGCGCACGAGCTTGTTGGTAAAAGGCAGAAGCTGTAGTTGTTACAATAATAACAATAATAATAATGTGACGCGAATATTTTTGATGTTTTGGCGACTAGACGGATGCGCGCGCACACACATATTGCCGTCGCCGCCGTCCTAGTCTGGTCCCGACGTCTGCCAACGACGTCGTCGTCGCCGCCGCCGCCGCCACCACCACCACCACTACCACCAGCACCGCCAACGCCGCTACTGTACCACCCGACCTACCGACGTACGTGACCCCACCCCATGCCTCCGTCTCTACCACACCGTTCCCACTCCGTTTTCGATGCGTGTGCGTCGCCGCCGCCGCCGTCTGCGTGTCCGACTACCGCCGCCGCCGTCGGTCGGGGGCCAGCAGCACTATTATGTTCGACGCGGTCACGGCAGTACCATCATCATTCGTGTAACGTGAGCGCGCGCATGTGTACGCATGTTTGTCTGTATGCGATTATCCCTGCGACGGTTATCTCAATATCGTATCCTCTTCCTACCCGTTGTGCGCGTGTGTTACAGTACTTAAATATTTTTATTATTACACGTGATCCGCCGCAGTGTATTACGCGAGTTTAACTGTATTTGTATATTTTCTTTTTAACTTAAATTGTGCGTTGAGAAATTTTTGCTATGCGAGTGCGACGGTCCGTCGTCGCTACATGGTCCGAAAATGTATGTAATGGGCGAGCGTGCGATGTGAGTGATTCGGACGGTCGCGGTTGTTGTGCCGAATTGATACTCTAAAGGCTAATAAAAATGGAGGAAGACAAGCAGCAGGTTAACAATCCGCACATCAAGAAGGTTCTGAAAACCTATCAGTTGAGTGCGCCCAGGAGTCTGCAAGGACCGAATCTCGTGTTGGACGATTCAGCGGCGGCCGGTCCCACGGCTGTGGCCATAAGTTCGCCAAAGGCCGATTCCGATAGCAACAAACGCAGCAAGACTCCTCCGCCGCCGCCTTTGCATCCGGTGCTCTATGTACCCGACCAGTCTGGTTGCGAGTTATTCGAGACTGAATTAGAATGGGAGAAAATCGCTTGTTTCATGGTTGGCGGGGAGATGAGGCTGTGCTTGCCGCAGATACTTAACACGGTGCTTCGTGAATTCACCTTGACCCAGATCAATCAGGTGTGCGATGAGCTTCGCATTTACTGTTCTCGGTGTACCGTCGAGCAACTTGATGTGCTCAAGCAATGTAACATATTGCCGGTGACCGCACCGTCGTGCGGCCTCATGACGAAAACCAATGCCGAACGGTTGTGTTTCGCCCTGTTGCACCGCGTTCCTCCTCCGCCGGCTCAAATCCCGGACGATATAGTGACCTATTCGTTTCGGGTGTTCCACGACGTATTTGGGAAGACTCGTGGAATCTGTATGCCGGAACTATATACGGAGAAATTTTCCGCTTGCATTCAGTGCGACGAGTGCAAGGCGCTGTTCACTCCTCAGCAGTTCGTCAACCATATTCACAGGTTCACGGGCACAAACTCTTGTCACTGGGGCTATAAGCGCGAAAACTGGAGGGCGTACATCAAAGTGGCGCACGGACAAAAGGATTACACCGAAGTCGTGAACTTATTCGAAACGTTCAAGGAACAAATAGACGATTCGACCACCACTCACTTCTCGTCCCGCAAACGCAAGCAGGTAAGCTCTACCAAATTTATGTTATGCACTCGTGTTTACCACGCGGCTCTGAATTGTAATAATAGTAATCACATGGTAAAATGCGTCACACTTGGTTTCCAAAGAGCGATAACAAGCAATACTAACAATCGTATAGCGCAATAAACTATTCTAGTTGGTTTATTTTTGTCTGGAATGGGTTCCATTCGGTTCTCAGACGTCTAGACCTTCACGTAACGACGTTCCAAATATCACCGTAGTGCTGCTGCTCGCCGCAGTCTCGTTTATTTGACCGGTTAACAACGAGATTATTAAATTGTTATTGTGGAAACAACGCCATTTATCGAATGGTTTTTTTTTTCGTTCTCGACGTTTGTACCGATAACGCAGTCGGCGGCAACAGAGGTGGAATTCGTTCGTTATCTCCGGTGTTAAATACGTTATTATTCAAAACAAACGAGCTCGCTATTGATCGTACAGCGTCTCGCGGCCAATTAAAATTATTGCAACATTCAAATTTTCCGCTGGTTTTTGTTTTCAAAACATCATCGACGATTCTGCATTAATAACTTTAACCAGCGCATTATGTTACCCGTAGACGTACACCGAAATTGATTTCATTGTTGTTCCTTTATCGCTTAAACGTAGGTCGGTAATTAATTTATACTTTTCTTGCTTTTACTCGTATCCTTTCTAGTCGTTATCACAAAACATTGTCATGACAGTTGGACTCCGAAATTTATTAAAACGATAAACCTTAATAAAAATTATCAATCTTTACACTGTTTTTCGTAAATGAAAAGGAGAGAAGAGTTTGCGTCGAATGTGTTCAGGTAGACTGGTAGTAATCGGTTTGCATTGGTCGGAGCAAGTCGAATAATTTCGCAGCAAATCGCGTGCTTTCTTTTTACAGCATTTGTTGTGAGCATTATAATGCCGCCGCCGTCCTTGAAGCGTCCGCGGAATTGCATAAAAAACCCGACGAACGCGGAGGTTAACGTAGTCGAAGAAAATGTAATAACGCAGTCTAGCCGCTACTATGCAAATAAGAGTTGGTTTATTGTATGCTTCCGGACGTGTTCGACCAACGTTTGGTTAACAATTAATTGGCGGCAAAAAAATCACCAGTGCTTAATGTGATGACAGACGGACGTGATTGTAAGTGGCCACTCGGATCGATAGCTTTATTGTAATGCGACTTATCAGTATAGGTTATTTCCCGCGGCTAGAGTTGTTTAGCCGTGGACAAAGTCCCGGTGCATGTAACCGCAAGTTTTGCGTTACACCAGATATTGTTGAATTACGATTAAACGTTTATCGTTCCTGTATAAAAAAAAAAAAAAAAAAATTATCTATATTTTTATAAAGAATTTTTCAATAAACGTGCTCAAACCGAGCTTTGGTTTGGCGTTGTTGTTGTGGAAATAATGTATCGGTCGTCCAGACGGTCTGAGCGTATATAGTGACGAGGTCACGCGGAGACGAAGCGGCCGCAATTACACAAACAAAGGATTTGCGTGCGCGCGCGTGCATATCTGTGTGTCTGTATGCATCGTTCTCGTCAAGGACATTGGCCGCCGCCGCCGCCACCACAGAGTGTTCAAAGCTGCTGCTGTTGCTGCCATCGCTGCTGGTGCAATTTCATTATGATATCGTTGTGGGCTCGTACAGTACTAGCGCTCGTTGATCCAATACAGTCCACAGTATGGCCTTCATTTTTGTAATCGCATTAACATGATAGTATTGATTGAATGTAAAGTAGTTGGACTGCACTGGTATTATTTACATTACATTTAGACGTTGTGAGGGTTTACAGCGTAAAAGCGGGATGTTAAAAAATCGAGTACAAATTAACGATGCACTGGCGAGGGCGGCGGCCGGCGATGCGTTTGATTTGGTGCCAATGTGCCATCAGTGGAATGTGTTCGGTTTCACTGTCGGGTACCGCCGCTGGTGTTGTTGGCAACGTCTGACAAACGGCGTTAATATCTCAACATTATTATTATATACAACCGTGAATAATTATCACAATATAATGTTATATTGGTCGTAAAAACTTACCAAAAATGACTAGCGCGTTTTTTTCCGTGTGGGTACTGACGTAGTTTTTAAGTGAAAACAATATTATTAATAAAACTCTCATTGTTGTTTACCGCCGTTAACGCGGAGAAATATATCCACCGATACTGAAAATACGCCTTGTAGACTGGCCCGTATGTTTACCGTTATCGTTTTCGCCGGCAGTTTTTCTGAAGCATCTCGATACGTGTTGTTAATTCTTGGTCGGCCAACGTCGTGTTTCATGTTTTACTAGAATCGTAGGCTCGCTGGTCTTGTATTTTTCTAGAAAAATGTTGTTTGTTACGTGATTCGGTCATACCTGCCTCAGATGCGACCGTTTGGAAGTTTGATAATCATTTCATTGTTGAACATGAAAATAAAATTTGTTCGATCGTTGTACGGCGTTCAAAAACTTTATTTATTTAAATCCGATTCGATATCGTTGTTTGTTTTCTAAACCAAATAAAAAGTAACAAGTCGTCATAACGGTTATCCGGTAAACGTTTCTAGCGTCCTTGCCCTGTTGCCGTTCTCCTATTCGATTGTTGTGGTTATGCACTGGACTCGTTGCGAAAATCTGTAGAGATGTAAAAATAACTGCTGGCCTTAATTAATACAACCGTATAATACTTGAACATTGATACGCGTCACGGTGTTCTCGTTGTACGCGTTTGTTGTCAAAAAAAACTCAACCATAACGGCATTAGTGATAAAACGTATTATCGTCTGTGACCCATTATTGTTTGGGTATTCCTTTATTTGGGTTTTTGCGGTTGGGTATTGTCGATGTCATTGGTCGTGACAGGTTGATCGGAGGGGAATGTTACGTGTTCGGATCATTTGTAGTTGTTGTTGCGATTTTGCTACGAACGGAGTGAAAAACGCGTCGAAAACAAAAGGAACGAGTCTGCGGACCACTTCCTCCATTGGACACGAGTGCGTTCTGCTGCAACCGACGCCGCGCGTGGCACAATGGAAACAGGAATCGCAGTAAAAATAATAACCATTACGGAAAGGAGACGGGCCGGGGGGAAGAGAAGACAGAACAGGTCTAACGAGCTCAGGTGAACGGCCAGTGAAAAAAAATATAAAATGATGGAAAAAATAACCTTTTTCGGTGGAACGCTTCGCCGACAGCGATCGTATTACTATATTTGTTGTTTTCGTTGAATTTTTGTGCTTTTCTTCGGCTGTTTCGCGTGACAATGGAAATATTTTAAAACTCCTGACGGATCGGGTTTCCTCTGCGCTGGTCCATTATTATATTATTACACGGTTCTGCGATTACACCTATACACCGCAAACATATCCCCGTGAGCTGAAATTCTAAGCTAGCGGCTCAATATTTATTGTTTTTCTAGCCGGTAAAGTGTAAGCAATATGCGACCGATACGTTACTCGATCCCGCCGGCGCCCCGAACGTCGTCGACTGTGGTGACTTGTCGCCGACACGGTGTACATATCTTCCGAAAAGGATTAAGTATAAAATAGAGCCAACCCCCACCCAACCTGCCCATACAAAACATTTATCGTTTAAACCGTTTTTTGTTTCTACGCATGTAAAATAATGGTGTTTTATTAAAAGCTTATACTTGTCAAACACTGCGCTGTAGTAGTTAACCCCCCGTCCATTTACGTGATGCTGTTACATGCTTTTTCAAAGTAACGCGGTAAACCGTAGACTATTACCGAATATATTCACCTAGTCATACAACGTTATTGCATAATGAAGATTGTCTCGACGCTAGAAGAGATTTGTCTGTGCAACGGTGAAATTTTTATTTATGGCTATTTGATAATTATTACCCCACTAATCGTCACTTCCCCTTCGGATAACGTTATAAAGACACGTTACAATTCGGTCACTTGTTTTTCTGGTTGCAGGCGGAGACGGACAAGCGCTGCGTTGGTTTCGCGTTTGATATTGTTATTATTATTATAATTATTATTGTATAATATAATTTAATATATTAATGTTATGCACACGCGTTTATAATGTAAACAAAAACGGACGGGCAGCGGTTGTAGTAGGCATTTTTTTTTTTTTTTTATATATAATTGAACGTTACAATTTGTAATATATTCGTTTAATGAAGGTTTCACTGTGGTTTTTGTTGTTGTTATTCATCCGTTGGCCGTTGTTGTTATTATAATACAGTTTGAATTCCGCATAAACTCCATAGCGGTACGCGTTTTATTTATGCCACAGTAGTTCAATTGTGTGACCGACAACCGGTTTTGGTCCGTGGGCGTTAGTACGCGTGCTCACGCGTTTCGTGTAGTATTCCTTTCGGAAACTCCAACGTTCCTAAATTTTGCCCATTTACTTGTAAGTGTTGGACACAGTTAGGACCTACCGGGACAAGAGCTTCGCGTCAGAGGAGTGCCACCATCGGAATCCGTGGAAATTATTTTTGTTTAACGCGAATCGGTCGCACGTTCTAAAAAGGCAGTCGAGAAGGACGCCGCGCTGCACGGCCGGGCGAAAAGAGCATTTGGCGTTGGCAAAAATAGCTGTGGTCCAAAATAGACGGGCGGTGCTACCGGTACCTGCGCCAGAACATTTAACGCTGGTCCTGCTCACAACACATGACACCTTCCTCTCTCGTTTTCTACCTCCCTCCCCGTTGACCGCCGCGTGTATTTATACATATCAATGTGTTTGAATTTGCGTTAAACGACAGCGACAATTTAAAAATTAATTCAACTATTCACATTGAACTCGTACTTTCAAAAATAGTAAAATTCGGTTACTTAACTCTATGATACTGATGTTGCAATTACAACAAAACTCATTTTGTTACACACCACGCGCACACGACGGATAGTCTACTAATAGTTAATTACACTCTAAGTACCTACTAAACATAGAAGCGTTTGTGTTAAGTTACTGCATTAGTATGTGAGAAATATTTTTATCTACACGCGGTGAGTACGCCGTCGTCGAGTAGTCCGTGTTT